AAACGGAGAGAAGGACTCAGGAAGGAGGATGAAGCAGCTGCCCCTCCTCTCATCAGGAGCTCCTGGCTCCTTTATCTTCACTGGAAAGAAGCCCAGTGCACAAGGAGTCATGAATTATTAACTGGAGTCAGCAGGAAAGGCCAATTGAGAAAGGAGACTGGGTAAGCAAAGTAATTTATCATGTGAAAATCTGTTTCAGAAAGTTAAGATACTTCTTTTTCCTTATCACAACTAAGGTGTCTAATCTCTCCTACAAAAATGGGGTCAAAGATTTAAAGGTTTAAAACTTGCACAAACACTTCTAAAGGAAACCTAGAAAACAGGCAAAAGGCCAAGCCTCGCTGCCCATGCCTGTAATCCACGCAACTGGGAAGCTGCAGCATAAGGATTGTCAGTTTACATAACTCACTAGACCATATAACATGATCCTGTCTCAAGTGGACCAAAAATTCAGGGGGGAGAGAGGGAGGAAAGAAATGGGGGAAAAAACTGTTGATCCCTGTTTAGTTTCCATCCAGTTTGGTTTGGTTTTAGTACTGAATCAAACCCTGTAGGGAAACGTTAATTCAGAACATGCCTGCTCTGGCAAGAGAGCACATCAAAGACCTTCTAGATCTGTGTGATCCAGCTGGATCTCTCTGTCCAGGAGATGGAGGCAAGCAGATATAAGCTCAAGGCCAGCCTGGTATAGAACAAATCTCAGGTAAAGAAAGCTTAGATCCAGGCGTGGTGGCTCAGGCCTCTAATCCCAAACAGTGAAGGTCAAGCTAGTTTGTAGAAGGAAGCACCCATGTTCAAAAGTGATGTCTAATTGAGGGGCAGAAAAGTGATGAATCAGAATTAGATTTGACTGAATAGGATAGGCCCAACTCTCAGGAGAAGAAAAAGGAAAGGGAAGCTACGAAAGGGGCAATGCAGAAAGAAAGAAAGGAGACAGTATTAGAGAGACAGGTTGCAGAGAGAGAGCGTTAGACACAGGTAAAGACAGAATGAGCCAGAGAATGAGAAGGAGCCAGAAGATTAAAGATTGCTGGAGTTAGTTTGAGGACAAGCAGAGCAATTCAGAGGCCAAGAGAAAAGCCAGATTGAATGAGTTAGCTGGGAGAGGAGTGTGAGCCAAAACAGCTGAGTTGAACCAGCCAGCCCAGAGCTCAGAAAGAACAAGAAAGGGTGAGCTTATTAGACAATAAGTCTCAGAGGCTGAAAACATCCTAGGCCTAGGCTAGATTGCATGGAGGCTGGAAGCTCCCAGGACTAGGCCTAGGTTGGCAGACGGAGACAATAAGCCTCCTAGACAACAGCTGAAACAGGTGAATAAAAGTTCCTTTTTACAAAACCCAATACCTTGTGCCTGCTAAGCGGGCACTCAAACTCTGAGCTATAACCCCCAGTCCCTGATCCCCGATGTTTTGATAAAAATACTTTTCACCATAACCTAACATGAAGTCAGGCCCAAGGCATAAATGAACAATAATATACAGACAGTTACAAACTGTCTCAGAGTGTGGCCTCCCAAGTCATAAGAATGCCTTTCACTGCCAGGCATAGTAGCACACCTTTTAATCCCAGCTCAAAGGCAGAGGCCAGTGGATCTCTCTGAGTTCCGAGCTACCAAGATTACAGAGTAAGACCCTATCTCAATTAAAAAAAAACCACCTTCTCTCTACATGGAGCTATGCCCTTGCTGTCTTTCACTTACATCCCATCTTAAAGGGGTAGCAACTTACGATATAATTCTTCAATTATCATCAACTTTCACCAACCTTCCAAACAGGAGCCCTCTCTGCAGCTAAAACTGGGTAGAAAGGGATGAAAGTGGAATGAATCTGTGGCATTGTAATCAGCCATCATGTTCAGGCTTTCACACATCATCTTGTAAGCCATCTAATAAAAGTCCCCCATCTCCCTCGGATAGTAAAATTACGTCAAAAGCCAAGCCCAGGCTAGAGATGGGCTTTAGTGCTGGGGTGCTTGTGCATTACCAGCATGCACAAGGCCCTTGGGGTCAAGTACCAGCACCAAAAAAAAAAAAAAAACAAAAACAAAAACTGAAGTTTAAAATGTATAATTTATGAGCAACCTAGAAGCAGATTTGTGTGGAAAATGTTGAGTGTTGCACTTACTCTATAGTTTTAGAGGACTCTTAAGGTTTTCACTGGTGGCCATAAGGGGGCAGTATGTATCACCGAAGAAGCAACAAGGTTATAAAAATCAATTTCATTCTAGTAATTTGATTCCCTGTCTGAGAAATCCTCTTGCACCAGTTTCCAAGTATTGACTCTAACTTAAGCACTCAGTATAAAACAAAGGAGATAAGAAAGAAAAGCATTATTCATCTTCAATAATAGCTTTTATAATGCAAGTGGGATATAATTATATAGATTTCAAATGCAAGAAAAACCACTTTGTAGCTTAGTGTGCTTATTTGAATAGACCTAAAGCAGAGCTTCAAAAGGATGCCATGTTACATAACAATGCCAGCTTTCCATCACCTTTGCCTTGCAGAAAATTGTACCCAACCATTTTTAAAGTTTCAGGCCAAAATAAAGTATACCTAAAAAAAAAAAAAAAAAAAAAAAAAAAAAACCCTCAGATTATCAGATAGCTGAGTTAGACCCTGGGGGTTTACTGCCTCTCCCCTCCCTCCTCCGTAAGTTCAGTCACAACCTAAGAGCTCAAAGCTTGTTAACATGAAGAGAATCTCATAGAAAACTACCACACGGTGAGGTTAGCTCCCATGCAGGGTCCAGCTTCCATTCTGCTCTCTGGGCTTGGAGGAGCAGAAGACAGGGGAAGGGACCAAGGAAAAAGTCCAGAGACTCAGTGCCTTAGACATCTCCCTGGGAGGGAGGGTGCACCGCTCTCTGCTGGGTGTGGGGGAACCTCTGCCCGAGGGGGGAGATGACACAGGGCAGCGCTTGGTTTTCCTTTTGCTATTAGAGAGAAAGACGTACCTCAGAACGCCTCCCACTTCTTCCTAATGGAAGGTGAATTAGAGAAGCAACGCTAACCATAAAGGAGGCCACGCACCGTCCAAGTACAGGAAGCCACTGGACATTTAGGATCTTCCTCCTGCCCCTCTCACCCACACCCACACCCTACCCTACCTCCCATATGAGCTGAGGGCTAGGGAAGAGAAGGCAGCAAAGTGTTGCCTGTGAGCGTCTACAGGGGTAAAGTTACATAAATGCAGTTCTCAGAGCAAAAACCCTTCCCTGCGAGAACTGAGTATTTTGTTGAATCCAAACATCTTAACCAGAATATATATATATTTTTTTCTTTCTGAGCTGCTACAGAAATCTAAGAGTTGTAGCCAAAAGATCAGTAAAAACCCAAGTTCTGCATCTTTCTAGAAAACTGATCGTGGTGGCTCTCCACGTTAGTATGTCAGGCAGCCCATCTCAAGTGAGGCACGGTAGAATGCTATCAAAAGACGGCTGGGGGCAGTGGCCCGGGCAGGCACCTCGCTTCCCTCTGCCACTGCAGAGCTGAGCCCTGGCAAATGGATGAGGTGGGGTCCTTTCCGCAGCCTTTCCCAGAAGCCAGGTGAGTCAGACAGTCACCCATCTTAGGGCCCACTCTGACAAAGCGGAGACCTGGCATCTTCGTCAGGATTTCATGAGAAGGACCCAGGTCCCTGGCAACGCCGGGCCTTCGCTCGCCCACACTGCCCTGTGTTCTCCCACAAGGCACTTCCTTGGGCAGCCCTCCTTCATCTCTGGAGTGAGATGGGGAGAGGATACGGGATGCTGTTCAGCCCCAGAATAAACAGAGTAAAACAATCAAACACAGGAAGAGAAAAATAGAGGGTCATGTAAAATCCTGGAGTTGGAAATGCCCAGGAAGAGGACAAATGGATGAAGCTGTGAGCCAGTCAGTGCCACGAGGGGATGGCCTCAGTGGGAGGTGGCCTCGGTGGGCGTAACTGGCTAGAAGAAGTCCATGGATCTACACCTGACCATGCCAATAAAGGGACACAGGTTTCTAACTAAGTATTTGGGACAAAGTTAAGTCTGCAAATATTTGGAAGAAACTTCCTGTCATCTTCAGGAGTATAGAGAATGGGATAGAAGTGCCAGAAAACAGCCGAAGAGGGAAAGCCCACGAGAGCAACAAGTGTGCAAAGCAAGACTAACCAGATGTGGCTAACTCTAATGGTGCTGCGGTGCTGCGGCAGCGTGGGACCGTCAAGGCAAAACAGAACAACTGGTCAACCCAACTGCGTGCTGCTTCAAACTTGGGCTATGCACTAGGAAGGCAGCACTCAGGGCAGAGTCCTAGCTAAGGAAAGAGGACATAACCTCACAAATGCATTGCTTTCTCCACTGAGGGATCCTGCCCCTACGTAGCCCTCCATGCCTTCCTCTCTGTCTGATGCAGGTTTCAAAAAATGTTTTCTCAGTGTAATTCTGGTTGTCCTAAGACTGGCTCTGCAGACCATGCTGGCCCCAAACTCAGGGATCCCCCTGCCTCTGACCCCAAGCACTGGGGCTGGGATTAAAGGTGTGAGCCACCACTGCCCAGCATCTGATGCACTGTCATTCAGCAGTTTGTACTGATGAGCCCACAAACTAAAGTAACCGCCTCACTAAAATCCAGCAAATTGCAGCACACAGGCTGTGAAGATTTTTTTTCCGTATGGTTGGGAAAAGATCAAAGGAAGATTATGCTATTATAAATGAAATCCCAGTGTCAGTGTTCGTGATAGCTTTACTGAAATGCAGTCTGCTTGTAAGCTGCCAAGCTTATCGGTACAGTTGAGTGATTGTGGCTGTAGTGGAGAAATACTTGTGAAGTCCTGTTCTAGATACTTAGACACAAAGGACAGAACTTTTGTTTTTGGTTTCTTCTTCTCCTTCTTCTTTTTTTTTTTTTAATAAAGCCTTTAAGAACTGTGAGTAAAACTTATCAGAAAACTTCTGAGAAGGTGAGTGAGGGTCAGAAAGCTGAAGGAGAACTTGGGTGGGCTGGGAGAGGGTGGGCACACCACAGGAACTCACCAGTAGAAGTGCTCTTCCACCATCTTGGTCACGGCTCTTGAGACGGCTCTTTCATGAGGGCCAAGGTTTTTGTTTAAGTTCACTCCAAGTTTTTCTTCCAGAAAGTCGATTATGAATTCTGTGCCAGACACTTTTTCATTATTATATTCAATCCAAGGCATTTTCCCTTGAGCAGAGAGTTTTCCACCAAAATAGTTCTAAATGGAATATTTTAGAGGAAAGAGAAGTAATGTATACATAAATTTTACTGATTAACAGAAACCAACATCCCAACCATGAGTGCTTGTGCCCATACCATTCACTCAAATGAATTCAGCACTTTAACTCTTTAAGATGACTACTCTAGGGTAGGGAGGGGGCCTTTTACTGAACATTAAACTATTTGTTTCCATAGGGTCTATCTTGGATTCAAATTCTATCTGGACCAGGGGAGGAAACAGACTCTGAGGCAAGGAGGGGGAGAGGAAAGGGGTGGTTTTGAAATGGACAGGTCTAGCTACAATGTGTAATTTACTCACAAATAGGAAAAAAAAAAAAAGGAAAAGCAAACCACAAAGAAGCTTGTACCAACTTAGGACCTGAAGAACTCACTTGAGATCCAATATATTGCGTCTGAATAATGCTTATCGTCCCCACACTGCAAACAAGAGGTATCCCCTAAGTTATCATACTGAGGCTTGAAAAGAATACACAACAGGTTCAACCACAGTGTCTCCTAAAGGCTATTCAGCAGGTTCCTGGGTTTCAGTCCAGACCTTAATTTATAGTCCTAGGTGTGGTACCCAGAATCTGTTCAGACAAGCTAGGTTTTGATCTATAAGCATGTTAGACACTGACAGTGACTCAGAAGATCTTGGTCCAGAAAGGAGGTGGACAGACAAGTCACACAATTTTCAGTTAAAATTACAGTGACATTTATTCTCCAGTGTGTAAAAAGTAAAGACCTGGACCACATGAATGGTGGGATTCTGGAGCCTCCCATGTCTTCAATCCCTTTTCTCAATATATATAGACATTTAAACCTCAAAGTTGATTGTTAAAACTGTGTCCACTGTCTTGCAGACTATACAGCCTAAATTAATCTGATCATCACAAACTCTTCCTTATACCTCATACAAATAGATATGCAGATACTGTTGGATAAAGGCAAATGTTGGCCCCTCTGAGAAAACTGGTACTCACAAACATGGTGCCTTACGTTAAACATACACCCTCTTCTCCCTTTTTAAAAATGTACTTATTATTGTATGTGTGTATTTGTCTGTAATGTCTGTATGTCTGTATTGCATGCAAGCTGGCACCATTAGAAGTCAAAAGAGGACATTTGATCCCCTGGAACTAGAATTACAGGAAGTTGTGAGCCATCACAGGGGTGCTGGGAACTGAACCAGGATCCTCTGAAAGAGCGGCCTTCTCTTAACTAAAGAGCCATCTCTCCAGCCCCTACAACTTTCTTCTAATCAAGCCATTTCACCCCTAAGTATTTACCCAAGAGTCAAAAAGCATGCAGCCATGCAAAGACATATCAGGAGAGATCTGGGCTGGAGAGATGGCTCTGTGGTTAAGATCATGCACTGCTCTTCCAGAGGACCTGAGTTTGGATCTCACTGACCCTATCATGTTGTTCTGTGCACATACATATAAACAGAAAATAAAATAAGTATTTTAAAAGTTCATAAAAGTGTTTCAATTCTCAGAAACAAGAGAAAGGTTATTCAGAGGTAAATTAATAAACAAGCCTACAAATATGCAATGGGTTCTCACTCCAGGAAAAACAGGAGAATGGACCCTTAACACAACATGGAGAAACTGAAAAGTACTTCGGTGAGTAGAAATAGGCAGGTTAAAAGGGACTCCACAGGGCTGAAGCCTATCTCAGTCAGTAAATGGCTCGCTTTGTAAGCACGGGAACCTGAACTCAAGGCTCAGTGTCCACGTTAAAAGCCAGGCGTGGAACAGGCACCTGTCATCTCAGCACTGGGGGCATGGTGCCAGGCAGAACACTGGGGCTTACTGGCCAGCCAGCCGAGCCAAAATGAAAGCTCTGTGGTCCTTTGAGAGGCTATGTGTTTAAATGCTTGATCCCCAGTCAGGAGACTGATTTGAGAAAGATTAGAAGGCGTGGCCTTGTTGGAGGAAAGTGTCACTGGGGGTGGGCTCTGAGGTTTCCAAAGGCTGCTAGGCCCAGTCTCTCCTCCCCTTACCCTCTCGGCCGGCCGGCTGCCTAGGCATTGGCATATAAGTCAGCTACTGTTTCAATACCATGTTTTCCTGCTTCCTGCCATGATGATCAAAGACACTACTCCTAATTAAATGCTCTCTATTTATAAGAGTTGCCTTTGTCAACAGTGTCTCTTCACAGCAGAAGAGTAACTAAGACAAGCTCCCAGACTAGTAAGTGATGTGTCTCAAACATTAAGATAGAGACCAATAAGACAGGGAGAAAAATACCCAGATCAATGCATAGTTCCCACATGCCACACACAAACAAGCACACACATCCTGGACATGGGGGTGCACCCCTTAACCCCAACACTGAAGAGGCAGAAGCAGACAGATCTCTGTGAGTTTGAGTCCAGCCTTGGCTACAATAGTGAGTTCAAGGCTAGCACAGATACAAAAGAAGTACACTGTAAATTCTTTCTTTCTTTCTTTCTTTCTTTCTTTCTTTCTTTCTTTCTTTCTTTCTTTCTTTCTTCTTTCTTTCTTTCTTTTTTCTTTTTCTCTCACTCTCTCTTTCTTCTTCTTTCTTTCTTTCTTTTTTTTTTTTAAGAAAACTCCAGGAAATGTAAACTAATCTCCAGTGATAGAAGGTACATCCATGACTGTTAACGACAATAAAGAAGGGTAGGAAACAAAATCTAAGAATGTCAAAGAAGCACGTGAAAATTTTAGAAGAAAATGGATCCATTTTTGTGTTTTGTTTTGAAACAGTCTTATATAATCCAGGCTAGCCTTGAATTCACCACGTAGTTAAGGCTAGCCTTGAACTCTTGATCGTCCTGCTTACAGCCCTAAGTACTAAGATTACAGGTAAGCACTACCACATCTGGCTGATAACTTTCAATGTGACCATTGTTTCATAGGTACTTACCTGGTTTAAAAAAAAGTTATCAAAATTTACATCGGAAACTTATGCAACTTGCTGCATGTCAATTTTAGCTACATAAAGTTGTGGGGGGTTTATTTTGTGTGAGAAGTCAGTTATTAGATAGAATTTGGAATGTATCAAGCCTGAGCGACTTTAAATGTTTCTCTAGACTAGAGATTAGCGAAGTCTTCCTATAGAAAGTCAGGTAGTAAATACAGCAGGCCCTAAGTCTCTACCAGCAGCTCCGCCTTGCAGTAGAAGGGAAAGAGCAGGCATGGGCCACGACAAGGGAATGAGCTTGGCTGTTCCCTACAAAAAGTCAGGACACTGAGATCTGAACTTCATGTATGACAAGCTTTTTAGAACGCTTTTCCCTCAACTATTTAAAAATGTACAAATGTTTCTTCTTCCACAGGCCTGATGTGGCAACCCTGCCACATCAGGAGACTAGGAGCTACCCACCCTCTCTGCTACAGAATCCCAAACTGAAACGAAGGCGGCATTCGGACCAAGCCCTACATAAGGATACACCTTTTCGCAAAGGTGTATTAAAACAGAAAACCCCAGAAGAGCACAGCCAACTCACCCTATTAATCCTGAAACTTCAAATTTTTCAGAAGTAAAATAATACTGCGGGGAGAGGTGGTGTTGGGGGAGTGCAACTGGGACTAAGACTCAGATGTTGGAGCGGACCAGGATGTCATCTGGACATGACAGGACCACTGCACTCACAAATGACCCCAGCTGTGGCTGCCTGAGCAGGCCCTGTACAAGATAAGCCAGTCAATGACAGCACGGTTGGGGGAGGGGCTCACGTGAGGAGCTATGATGGGATGGCTGCTAGGAGACGGAGACGAGCTTTCTTTCCTGTTAGCATGTGTTCCTTGGGAAGTTTACACGCTCCAGCGAGCGACCCAACGCCCATGGGTAAATGCAGCCCCACAAATTGGATTCAGTGGGTTATTTAAAAAAAATTAAAAAAAAAAAAAAGACATAGGATTGAAGAGCGTGGAAAGGTATACATAAAAGAAGAAGTTAGATGAAAGCGCGTGGGAGGGGGGGACATGATCTAAATACATTGTGTGCATGTCTGAAATTCTCCAGGAATTAATGAAAAAAAGAACTTTATTAAAAAACCATTCACGTGTGGTCAGGAGGGGTAGCACACGCCTGTAATCCCAGTCCTCAGGGAGGCTAAGGCAGATCTTCATGAGTTTGAGCCCAGCCTAGTCTACAAATCGAGTTCTAAAACAGCCAAGGCTACACAGAAAAACACTCTTGAAAAACCACACACACACACACACACACACACACACACACACACACACGAATACAAAGAACAACATTTAGATACTGCTGGTGTAAATTAGTGCACCTAATATACAGAATGAAGGTTTCTCAAAAGAGCTGCCATCTGAGCCAGCTGCATCACCTCCGGAGAGACAGCCGGAGGGATCCAAATCAGCAGTTGTGTGTTTTGTGTAGTGCAGTACGATTCTAAAGAGACAAGTCAAGAAACCAGTCTAAGTGTCTGACAACAGGTGACTGATTAAAAAATATACTTTATTATGTACACAGTGGAGTTTTACTTAGCCATAAAGAAAAAAAGAAATTATATCAGTGAAAAATGGATTGAACTGGAAATCACTCTAGTAAGTGAAACACCAGTCTCAGAAAAACCAAATTCACCTTTTTTTCATATGCGAAAACCTAGACTTAAATTTGTACAAATGCTTGCATCTGTGTGTGCCTTGAAAGCAGGGAAGAAATCTGAGCCACAGTGTTGGGGGAAGAGGGAGTAATGGAGCCATGTGACTTGAATACTGGAGGGGACTATTTGGGGTGAAGAATTGGGCCAGCAAGAGAGTGGGAAGCAGTGGAGGACAGGGTCAAATTAGACAAAGTATAATGACGCATACGTAAGGAAACGTTATGCTCACAACCAAAAAGGCCACTAACTAAAACAACAAAGCCCAAAGCAGATCCTTCTGTTTCCAAACCATGCATCCTTATGGGGCCAGATTTTCCGAGACTTCAGACATCAAACAAAATAAAATACTGTATTTTGAATGTAAAAGCTGATATGAGAATACAGCATTTACCCAATAAGCTGGAAATAAAACAGACTTATAAAATGCAAAAAAGTTACTTTTTTCAGTAAATGTTTCTATTTCTTTTAATTTTTTTTATTGTTCTAAGAAATGTTATTTATGTGAATGTATATTGGGCTTGCTATCTGTCTCTAAGGGTTTAAAAGGTACAATTATGTTTCCTAGAGGAAAGAAAATGCTATAATCAAATCTATTGCTTTTTATGTTAACTTTAAAAATTAGTGAAAAGACAAATGGCACATTAGAACTCAAAAAAAGTTTAAACAGAACCAGAGGGGCTGGTGGATGGCTCAGCAACTGAAGGGGCCTGCCACCGAGCCTGACAGCTTCAGTTCTAACCCGGACTGTCCTTTCATCCACATGTGTGTGTCACGGTACGCAGATGCTCTATTCCCATGAGTGCGCACACATGGTACATAAATGAATGAAAAACCACAAGGGACATATATATAAAGAGCAACAATGTAGTAAAATAACCAAGGACCATGCATGAACTGGACATAGGCCCCTATGAAGATGTAGCAGATGGGCAGCTTAGGCTTCAAGTGGGTCCTCTAGTAAGTGGGGACTGCATGGGACACGGACTTCTTGCTAGCCTTTTGATCATTTTGCCTTGGTGGGGCTGTCTTGAGAGGCCACAGGGGAAGAAGCCACACATTCAGTCCTGATGTAACTTGATGAGCTAGGGTGGGTGGGAAAGGGAGTCCGCCTTTGCTGAGGAAAAAGGGAGAGAAGGTGGAACTGAGAGAGGAGGGACTACAAAGATGTAAAGTGAATAAAATAAATAAACGAGAAAAAAGATAATAAAATTTTAAAAAGATAAAATTAATTCTAAAAAATTCAGAGGGAGAAAAAAAAGGATGAGTTTACTGTCAATTCCTCAGTAGCTACCAGTGCTCTGGAGGCAAAGGCAGGGGGCCACGTTCAAGGGCTGAGTAGCTACTCAGTACAAACAGACTTCACAGCCAGCCTAGTCTACACAGCAAGTCCCAGGCCAGATGGACTATAAAGTAAAACTGTCTCCAAAACCGCTACCAATAACACAATTCTCAGTAACAATATCAGTGGAAAAAAGACATCGGAGTAATAGTTTTAAAACACTAAAAGAAACAAATTTTAAAAAGAAATTTACCAAATGTGAAGGTTGGGGAATGGGGAACTATTTCAGAAATGCCAAGCCACTGAAGACTTACCAGGAAAATATTCATCAGCAAATTACCCCACGTGACTGGAAAGATGGCTCAGAGGTTAAGAGCACTGGCTGATCTTCCAGAAGACCTGGGTTCAATTCCCAGCATCCCCATGACAGTTCACAACTGTGCTGCACCACCCTCATACAGACATACACGCAGGCAAAACACCAACGCACACAAAATTAACAATAAATAAATTCATAAAGAAAAATAATGACTCAAAACTAGGTGTTCTGGAGCTCACCTTTAATCTCTACACTCAAAAGGCACAGAGGCAGACAGATCTCTGAGTTTTCAAGGCCAGCCTGGTCTATACAGCAAGTTCTGGGCCTGTATAGTATGGCCCTGTCTCAAGAAAGAAAGGAAGGGAGGGAGGGAAGGAGGGGCGGGGAAATTACTTGAATTAAAAACAAAAACAAACAAAAAAAAAAAAAACTGTGTAGAAATGTGGAAAATACAACTAGTCAAATAAAGGTAAATGGATTAGTCAAAGGGTAATGGATTAAGATACTTTTTATATAAATTTACCAAATAAGAAACTGTAAGAATGTTATTTCCAGGATGCAAAGCTACTAAGATATCAGATCCAATACAAGTAATGCACTACCTAAGAGGAGCAAATGTATAAAAAACATAAACAGGATGAAGAAAGATATCCCAAGCAACCTCACTACATGTCAAGTTCAATTTTAAAAAATCACAAGGGACAATGATTGGCACTGTACTTTGAAAATAAAACATTTCAAATGTGATCTGTAGTATATGTACCTAACAATACAACCTCAAATGAATGAATGGTATTAAAGTGATAATACAATAGAACAGCAAAAAGAGACCAATCAACGAAGATTTGGATGCTTACCCCTTTCAGAAACTAACATAGGCAAAACATTTTAAAAGAGCAAAAATGCAGCTCTAAATAACCCATTAAAAATCTTTAAACAAGTAAGCATGTAAATAGTCCCATAACGATAAGATTTAATTAGTTATTTTCCACTACCTTAAAAATAAATAAGTAGCTGGTGGTGGCACACGCCTTTGAGCCCAATACTCCAGAGGCAGATGCAGGATCTCTGTGAGTTCAAGGCCAGCTTAGTCTACAGATCAAATTTCAGGACAGCCATGGCTTCACAGAGAAACCCTGCCTTAAACAAAAACAAGCAAACAAAACCCACACACTTGGATAAAGTCCTAGTAGACTGAAGGAACTGATATCACAGAGACCATTTTCTCTGACCATAATCTCAAAAACAATCTTATATATTTGAGGTTATTTTATTAGGTACATATATTACAGAAGATCACATTTAAAACACAACAGCTAGAACTTGTTTAAAAGGAGAAAATTTTAAGCTACATAGAGTAATGACAACAACAAAACAACAAACAAACAAGCATGTTAGGCAGCTTTAGGATTACTGAGAGAAAAATAGATATCGTCAAATACATTCTTTTGTTTATTCTTTTTGTGGAATAGTGTTTATTTCTAATTTTAAATTGGGGAAAATATGCCCACATTCTAAACTTCAGTAATTTAGTTTTAATTAAGATGTTGTCATGTTCCCTTTCCTCACGGGGTGGAAATACTGCAAGCGACTTACTACATTTGTGTGTGTATGTATGCATACAGGTATGTGTGCCTCTTTTTCCTTGATTTTCTTCTTATAAATAGTTTTATTTGTTTATTTGTCAGTCTTTTGCCTGCATGTATATCTGTGTGCCGCAAGCTTGCCTTGGTGTCTGAAGTCAGAAGAGGACATGGGATTTCCTGTAACAGGAGTTAGTTACACATGCTCATGAACCATCAGGTAGGTGCTAGGAACCAAAAACAGGATCCTCTGCATGAATCCCAAATGCTCTTAGCCATTGAGCCATCTCTCCAGCATCCTTTGGTTGCTTCTTTAATGCCGAAATGAAAAGGTACTCCCTGGAAAGCCACTTGAGCAAACCATGGAAACTTAAAATATATTCAAAGGCCAGAGCTATTGTTAGGTGGTGGAGCCCTTGTCTGACAGACAAGAGGTGCTGGCTTCAACCCATGGTGCTGTCGACCAATTTTTTTCAACTATCCACCTGATGCCAACTGTGCCCTCTGACCCCACATTCATGGAGGAAAAAATGAGAAACAAAAACCTGAAAGAAAAGTTCCACCAGGCAGTAAGGAGCAGTTCTCACCAGCAGCCCTGTAAGTTTATCCAAACCGCCAGCCAAAGAACCCATTAAAATAAACATGATGAGTCCTTCGTTAAAACAGATTAAAAAAAAATCAACAGACCCTGGAATGGAGTACCTCTCTTACTAAGGACTGGGTGCTGTTACCTTTACACCCCACCTACTCTAACAACCACTCCTGTAGCATTAACTACTCCCCTCGCTATGTGATAGTGATGTCATGAGAATAAAACATATTTTCAAACAAGTACCTGATAGGGTAGGTCAGCCATTCTTAAGTAAGTTTCCATTTTCAAACAGAAAGGAGACAAGCTGGGAACACCATTGTTAGGTCTTGCAAATTGATGTAAAATAATAGCATCTTTGGAGTCAAGCTCTTGCTGTTTCCTGTTGAAACCAAAACAGAAATAAAAATAGCCTGCACGTTAGTTTTCAGCTTGGTTGGTTCACAAGAAGACCCTGTAGGGTTGTAGTCCTCCATGAACAAGCATGGGGCTGTGACAGGCCTTACCTCATCCAGGGTTTGGAGACGAGAAGCACAGGGACACACAGGAGTTCCTACAGACTCTGAAATGAGTGCAACCCAGTGGCCTGGGAAGAAACTACCTTGCTTCCGTTACCTGCGGCCTCCATAGGCGAGAGGGGCATTTTGTGCTTCCTACGTGTTCCATCTGACTCTGTGCATTTCATGGCTATTATTTTATTAATCTTCAAAACAACCTTATGAAGTAGCTACACTACATGTATATTTTGTGGATACAAATACTAGAAGCTACTTCAGGCTTTTAAACCAGCTCTCTTGTGATACCAAAGGATCACAAGTTCGTGGCCTGCCTGGGCCACAGAGAATCCTGGGTACGAGAAAGGCACACTGCTGCTACACTGCAGAACCTGGACTTTGCCCACACGCCTGCATGAGACAGCACTGAAACGGCTCGGTCCCAATAGGAAGGGGAGATCACTGAATGAGTGTGCTGTGCCATGGCCCACATCTCCAGAGAATCTAATACTGAACATTCTGGTTCTTTTTTCTATATTGATAATCACAAGAATGAAGTAAAGTGGTGTCCATAAATATTTAGTAAGCTATCAAGCACTGAAAGTCTAGAGGAATTCATTCTCACAACAAACTATGGTCTTGTTCACCACAGTTTCACCCTCCCTGGCTTACACACCCCTCAGAGACCTAGTACAGTTTGCATCTTTTCATCCGCCTAGCATTCCCAACCAGACAAGCTCCACTCCAAGCCTTGGCCTCTCTAAGCCTCTGCTTCTTTCTCCAAACCTCGGTTTAGTTCTGTACCTACTTCTGGCCAAGCAGGACCTGTCTCCATCACCACATGGTGCTCCCTAGCTTCAGCATCTCCCCTTGGCACAACAAGAGCTCAGTCAGTTTAGAGAACCCAGAATGACTCATTCTGAAACTACAAGCCAAAAGAGTTAAAACATTTACCATAAAACAAAGAGTTCCCTTCATATGAAATGTGTGGGAGGTCAGATATTAAAACCCAGGTATGTCTGTAGACAATACAAACTCTACACTTCACAACTGACTTTGCGCAAAAAAATAATTCACATCACAAAGTGGTGTGTTCATATAAATTAGAGAGGCAAAAGTTTAAGAAGTGAAAGGAGATAAAAATCTCCTGCCCTACTGGCCAGAAGAATCAAACGGAAAGGCTAATTTAGGCCTCATCACAGTCAGAATGGAAGCTACTCATGTGCCAACCTGTGCCAGTGACTTTACAGACATGGCCCATATTAACTTCCTTAATTCTGATACTGGCGCTCTACAGCGGCCCTTGCTGGAGTTCAGGCTTGGGACATTGTACTAATATTTTATAGCAGACAGGAAGCTTTAAAGTCAGAAGTAACTTGCACAAGAAATACCAACTTAAGACCAAGTCTGTCAGGACAAGCTGGGCAGCAGAAGTGCTGAGGCTACTCAGAAGGCAAGAAAACTGCAAGTTCAAGGTCTGCCTAGGCAGCTAGATCATGTCAAAAAAAAAAAAAAAAAAAAAAAAAAAAAAGCCAAAAGGGGAGTGAAGTGAAGATATAGCTCTTTGGTAGGGCATTTGGCTTCCATGGATGAAGTACTGGGATCAATTCCTAGTACAAATGAAAAAAAAAAAAAAATATATATATATATATATGCAGGTATTCTATATATATATGTATACATATATATTAATATATATATTAAAATAACTTCAGATCCCAAGAGTCCAAGAAAAGAAAATTGGCAATACCTCAGGTAGTTTTAACACAGCCAATTTGACTCAAATAGCTAGTAACGGTTAATCTTTATGGATGCCCATAGGACAAACGCTGTCCTAAGTAGTTTACATATGCTATTGTATTAAATCAACTGGCTAAGGAAGGCTACTATTATCATTTCCATCGAAGGTGCATGGTTTGCTAAAGGCTGAATCAAAGCTGAAGCCAGAAAATTTGGCTCCATAGGCCTCCTTCTACACATCTCCCCAGTTTAGGATCACAGGATCTGATGAGTTCCTTCCTGTGCAACTTATTGCGTTAAAAAAACAAAACAAAGCAAAACAAAAAACAAACAAATAAACAAAAAAAAAACCACCCTTAGAGTGGACTTGAATAAGAGAACAGCTGCAGAGGCCAGCTGGCTCACCTAACAGGACACTAACTAGCTCCTGTCCCTGCTGTACAGACACCAGCGATGGTCATGCCTCTGATGCCTCTGTGACAGGCAATGAAGCCAGTCAGGGAGATCGAATGGGAACCCTTCCGATGGAGAGCACAAGTGCAAATGAAGTCACTGCTTAATCATTCTGTTTACAAGCAAATTTCCAGATGCATAAATTTAATATAGATGCCAAGCCATCACCACACTGGGGAAAACCAAGGACTGAGTCAATGATTATTTAAAAATATAACAGTAGAAAAAAATACAAATACCCCAACTAATATTCCAGATAAGTACCCACGCTTCACCCTAAAAATACCTGCATTGGTTATTGTTATTAATTAGACTTCTTGAGTAACCTGATAACTTTCTTTTCCCATGAGACAAAAGCAGAGATTAAGGTTAATCTGGCCAGCAGAAATTCCAGGCAGGGTCGGCAGAGTTGACAGTTGCCAAAGAACTCAGACAGTGGGACCATTTTATGCTATATTTCCCTCCCACTCATTTCAGAATTTGATTTAGGTTTTTGTTTGTTTATTTTGTTTCTGCTAAACTATACAGACAGCAGAAGCTCAGATCTCACAGCAAGTAGAAGTTTCCCTCTCTTGTACCCTCTGAACCCTGTCTTCCCCATATCTCAAGAAGCTGGCAGAAAGTTACATCTTCCCAGGAAATGCCCCCGTTCTCCTCATTTCTCTTCCTTTCTCCCCCAACAAAACACCTCAAAGCGAGCGTTTTCTCACAAGCCCTCAGTTTCCACATTGGAACCTCAGTATTTTACTCCTGCATGATCTTCAGCAGATTACTTAACCTGTTCTACTAAGTAGTGGTAATTGTTCAAGATACGTGCAATCACACACATGGAGGGCCCCTAAGTTCCCAGAAATCTTCTTTTCAGTTTCCATTACAACAGGGTTTGCAGATTCATTTGTCAAGAAACAGAAGTAAACAAACATGGGTCTTAAAACACCTTGATCCAAGTAAGTACCCAGGGCTGGGGCTTGTGGCCACTACAAGGGGGAAGGAGCTAGCCTGGGCAGAGGACTGAAGAGTGCACGGGGTCCAGAGCTTCCGGGGCGTGGTGAGTTCGCCAGGCCCTGTTTCGCAAGGTCGCATTTTGGGTTGGCCATCTGAAGCCTTCCCTCTCCACAAGCTAGGGAAAGGCTGGGGAGGCGCATGCAGCAGGAACAGTCTTTACAGGCTGAAGCACAGCAGAGAAACAACAGGCTACTGTCTGACATGCTGCTCAGGGGTGGGAGTTCTCCACAAGGCCTGAAATCTGACCCGAAACAGAGTTCTCAGGCTGGCACAAATGGGGAGTCATCTTGGAGATGTTTCACTTTAAAAACTTTTGTATTTGGCTCAACTAGATTCAAGACACTGAGCTAAATGAGATGTAGCAAACTTAAAATAAACTTCTCAGTCTCCCATTGTGGCTAATAATATGAAAGCCAACACATTTTCTCAGACCTAATTGATTTCTTACCCTCTCAGAACCAACAAATAGTGTGAATTCAATAGTGCTATCACAGTGTCCTCCCGGGGTTCCTGCAAGCCCATTAGAGGTCACCAGCCACTTTATAACCTCTAGAACCATGCCCATCCTTCATCTACCCCTAGAAAATGTGGCGTGAACGCATCCTTGCCCCTTCAGAAAATACTGGCCGGAACGGAAATTCTAAGCTACTGAAAACTGCTCTGCCTCCAATCATCTCCAGTGACTGGGGCCCCAAATGCAGGGAAATTTTAACCATTTACTGACATATTCGTCAGCCAACGACTGTCTCGGTACCGTGTGATATCACCTACAGAGCGAAGGAGCTGAGGGACTAGCAGTACCAGCAGCAGGAGCTGCGTTTATCGTCAAGCCAGCCCCGTACACACTCTGCGGCAGGCGGCCATGAAATTTGTTTACGCCCTGGGAGACTCCCTGTTGGGTCAGGTACCCATGTGCTAGCGCTGGCCTCAGATCTACCGCTCACACAAGCACGGCATTGAGACCCAGAGGCGCTCAGTTCCCTACCAGATAAGCAGGTAAGCAGGGTAAGGCTGCATCAACACTGAACAGGGCTACACTTAGCCAGGCATCTTTGACAGTGACTGGAGGTTCCGAGCTTCTGCAGCTGCAGCCGCCTAAAGAACAGTAAGGGAGAACTAACCTTTTAAGTAAAGATGAGGTTAGCAGTCAATATCCCAGCATTATTACCCATAAACCAACTGGGCGTTTATAAACGTGTACCTTAGTATTTCTACAGGGCTTCGTTCTATTGTTGCAAATGCTTTGGTTGGTTCCTGTGGGCTTTAGCAGACTGTTTTAATCCACAGCACCAGTGACTCACAGCACTTTGCTTTTAGCATCGAAATGATGGAAGGCAAATGCTTTCCCCTCCCAATTTAAATCTCCCATCAACTCTAAATGGCCCTTCACGAGTGGCCAGGGGACCATGAGTCGCCTTAGGGGGGAGAAGATCAGAGAGGTCTCCTGGACCTTTGGGCTGCGGGACCGAGGGGCTGGCCCCGACCCCCCTTGGCGCCAGCCCGCTCGCGCTAGGTGCCCCTGTGGGCGCCCGCGCGCGGGGCCCTCTCTCCGGCTCACCTAATGACCAAGAGTTCGTGGAGCAGATACGCAGCCGCGGCCAGCAAAGCTCCCCCGGTCAAATACAGGGTTTTCTTCCACCAGGGATCCGAGCCCAGCCCTGCCATGATCCCACCGTAATCCTGCAAAGGGAAAGCGATGATGTCCCCATAAAAGGAGAAGGGCTCCTCGGACCCGGCCCACCAGCCGAAGAAGGAGACGCTCTGGTTCCAGCTCAGGTCCACCACGCACGGCCTGGACGAGGCAAAGCCAACCCCCCAGTGCATGCTGCGCGGCTGGCTCGGGGCGCCCCTCCCAGGGCCCGCGCCGCCCGCATGGGAAGGGGCCGGCGCCCGGGCGGGCTCAGCGGCGCGCGGGGGGC